CACACATCCGTGGGTGGGCATCTGCAGCCAGTGCAGCCATGCCAATTGTGTCATTGTTTCTGTGTGTCCTGGTAATTCTCAATTGAGTGGCAGCAGCCAGCCTGAGGGCCGGCGTGCAACAACGCTCGCCGCCACGTGGCTTCACATGCGCCGAGCCACTCCTCCCGGGCGCCTGCTAGGCTGGGGGCTGGCCCGAGGGCCAGTGCTCCCTGCCCCGTGGCTTCCCGGGTGCCGGGTGGGGTGGGGGGCCCTCCTTCCGGGTGCCTACGAGGCAGGGAGCCGGCCCTTCCTGTCCTTTTTAAATGGTCAGTCTTTTCTAAGGGACTTTAGTCATGTAAGAAACTTACAAAAGATAAATTCTTGATTTAAACTAGGTCCCAGCCCAAAGCAGGAGTCTTCAAGGAACATTTCCTTTCCTGATACCTTTAGGCTGTAGGCTGTGGCAGCCAGGAATGCCGTGTGCCTTGTTTTGAAACTAGAGAGCCAGGTGGCCAGCTATCAAAAGGGCTAGGCACAATGTACAACCTTAAAATGTCAGTGTGCTCTGTGGATCGCTTTCGGTGTGAGCCCTATCTAATGATGATAAGTCTGTGTTTCTTTACCTAACTGGCAACACATGCTATTTTGAAACCCGGCCCACTAATGTCTAACTACCTGCCTGAGAAAACAAAAGAGAGGCAGGGACAAGTGCATCTGGGCAGGAAGTAGTGTCAGCTGAGGAAGGCAGAAGGCAGGCAGCCAGGTCAGAGTTCTTGGAACTGGGGAGGCAAGTGCCTCCTTTTGAAACTGCCTTCTCCGCAGGGGTGTCTCAGAAGCTGCATTTGTCCTAGAGACACTCCTCCCCAGCTGGGGAGCTGGCTACCCTGGACAGAGGCCAGGAACTTGGACTTGGAATACATGGCCATTGAGACAGGTAGCTTGTCCTCTGATGCCTGTGGGACTGCCCTACACAGAATGGGGGAGAAAGTCTGCAGAAAAGACAAAGAGGGGTGTGCAGGAGGGCCTGCAGGGGCACCCCCGCTCTGAACCTGCGTGTGTACACCTCGCACAGCTTTGGTGGCCCCACTTGAGAATAGAAAGGAGAATGTAAAGGTAAGGTGAGTGCATTAGACAGGACTGACTAGAGGAATGGATCTGATATAAGATATATATATGATTGTACAAAGGATTTACTAGGTAGGCTTACAGGACCGGAAGTGGAAGAGTCCCATTGGCCATCTGCCTGACCAGAGGGGGAAAATGCAAAAAATGGCCACCTGTGTGCTGGACAGCAGTGGGATCATGTGGAAGGTCAAATGCCTGGAATCTGGTTGAATCCATGCTGAAAGCTGAAGGGTCTGTGTTGGAACCTGAAGAATCTGCACTGGAAATCTGAAGGAACTGGAGACCAGCGTCCAAAGACAATAAAGAAGATCAGGGTTCCTCCGAGGAAAAAGTGCAGACTTCAGAAAACTGGGGAGTAACCAAACTCCTACTATTGGCAGAAGTTCTGATGCATTGCTGAAGCCATTTGAAGAGGCAGTGCAGTCCTGTCTGCCAGAGTGGTAAACATAGCATTTGAGCTAGCAATTCAGCTTTTGCAAGCCATCCGGAAGAAACATTCGCACATGTTTAATCAGGTGAAATACTAAGATTTCTATTGCAGCACTGCTGGTAACAGTGAAAAATGAAAACTTCCTCCATGCCAGTCAATAAGAGTTTGATTTTAAAGGACAGGGTGTCCATCTAGAAGGATCTCACTGCCACCCCTCCTTGCCCCCCACTGGACCCCTCAGGACAGCAGAGGCTTAGGGCTTGGTCCTGAGTCCTCTTGCTCTACACCCAAACCGTCCTGTCCATAGCTACCAGCTATGTGGATTGCTGGAAAAATGACCAGCCCTCATTGAGAAGTGCCGTAAGTGTGAAATACACACCAAATCAGAGTCCCTCACCAGAAACCACGCATTTGATCTTGACTATGCAATGAACCCCAAGCCAGAACCTGGGAAGGCTCCAGCAGCCTGGCCTCCTGCTCCATCTGCCGGCTGACCTCTGTGACTCCTGGGCTGAGGCTCCCTGCGCAGGGCAGGAAGGGCACACATTCCTGGGGGCTCTGTCTTGGAAGCGTCGACCTCAGCTGGGCTGCTGTGGTTCAGCCTTTAGGGTGCGCGGGAGGGAAGGCAGCGAGAAGCTCCCTGAGGGTCCCATCACAAGCAGTGGGCCCTGTTCCTTTCTTCTGGTCCCCAGACACCGCCGTTCCTTAGCCATGAACACAGGAGACTCAGATACTGGCCTGGGAACTGAGCAGGTGGCACTGTCTTACTAGGTTGGAGGTCGCTGTGGCAACAAGGTGACGGAGTGCTCCGTCACCTTGGTGATGGGGATGGAGGCCTTTTGCCATCAGTCCCAGTTTTCTGCATGGCAGCTCTAATGACAGAATGGTCACCATAGCGACCATGGGCCCTCCCAGGAGCAGAGGCCCTGGCAGGAGAGTCCTCTACTCCATACCTGGCTGGAGCAGGAAGTAGTGAGTGATTCGTGGCCCAGAGAAGCAAGCTGGGGTGTGAGGGACATAGTCACCTGCAGCCTTGGTACTCAGAGCTGTCTGCAAGCCGCTGGAGGGAAGAGACCTTTTCTGCTGAGTCGGTTGAGGGGCCATCAATTCCCCTCTGCTCACCACGGCCCCAGGAAATCCAACCCGAGTGCAGACGCTGCCTGGGGCCTGCATGGCCCTCCCTGGAGAACATCCAGCCTGAGAGGGCCACTGACAACAAGGGGCTGGAAGAGACAATGAAAAGGAGGAAACTGTGACTGAACCTCAAATCCCAAACCAGCCTGAGGTGGACCATCTTCTCCCAGAGGCCCTGGGCTGGCTGTGACGGTGCTGGGAGAAGCCGGGGTATCTCTGCTTTGGAAGCCTGGTGGGGGACACTGCGGGGTCCCAGCTCCCCGGGTTGGCTGCTGCGCAGATGCTGGATGACAGAGCCAGGATGGAGGCTGCCAAGAAAGAGAAGGTAGCTCTGCTTGCGCGAGGCATTCTGGAAGCATCCATGTGCCTGTCCTGGACGCTCACGGGTTCCTTGGAGTCTGATTTACACAGGATCTGGGCATCTTGTGGGGCTGGGAGAGCTCTGCTTCCCAGACTAACTCTGCGTTTGGGAGAGAGGGTGCTCAGAGGTCCTGGAAGCAGCCTCCTCTGAGGAGGGGCTCTGGGGGTTCAGAGCCCTGGCTAGGAGGTTCAGGGAGCTGGGGCTTTAGTGGGCAGAACCCACTGCTGGATTTTGAGGCAGCACCTACAGACACTGTGACAGGTCCAAGGCGCCTAGAGGAAGGCTTCCTCTTCCACCCAGGAAGCATTTCCCCTGGGAGCAGGGGAACCCTGGGGAAGGGGACAGAGCAGCCGCTTTTTCCAGCAACAAAGAGCAGACCAGGTGCCCTGTGAGCAGCCCTGGGCTGGGATGTGAATAAAAAGAGAGCCGGGGATGGGGTATCTGCTATGAAATGCCGAGGGAGAACACACCCACACCTCCCCTGCTCAGAGGCAGGAGTCAGTCCTTGGGCATGTTGCCCCCTGGGTCCTTTCCTCCTCTGTACGAAACAACGAGGTCAGCACAAATGCCCGCTGGTGTGCTTCTGCGGAGCTAATGATGGCAGACAAAAGAAAAACAACCAGTCCACCCAGGGGGCCCACACAGGGCGGGCAGTGGGTAGCTGAGGCCCAGGGCCAAGTCCCGCACCTGCCTGCCACCGAAGCTATGTTTTGGATCAGAGATCCTGCTCATAGGAGCCACTTCAGGCCACCCAGGGAAGGACGGTGGTGTCTTTGATTGGCACAAGCAGAGGCCTGGCTAGAGGTGGTGAGGCAAATGTATGGGCTGGAGATCTAGTGCTTTTCCCCAGGTGGGAAGAGAAACCCTGGGGTGAGTGTGTATGTGTGTGTGTGCGTGTGTGTGAGTGTGTGTACATGGGCTCCAGTGTGTACAGTGAATCCCTTCAAAAAAGACCCAGCAGAGCTGTCCTGAGCCCCACTTCACAGCAGCTTGTAGGATAAGCCACCTCGTGGGCTGGGTCCCCACACACAGGCTTCGGGGCTGCCCACACCCTTCCCATTTCTGGGAGAGGTGCAGGTCCTGGCAAGGCCAGCTGTGGAATGGGGGCCTGGGGCTCAGGCACAGAATTGAAGGAGCACCAAAAATGGCAATTATCAAGACAAACACTATTTTAACATGGCATTATTTAGAGGTTTAATTTTTTTAGTGCATGATTACAGACCATATCAATTACACTCATCACAGGGAGTCAGTACATGCACATAACATAACTTCGTTCTTTTTATGTCCCCTTCCCCTTTTCCTTCCCCTCTATTTCCATCTCTTAGTTCCTTTCCAGTCTGAAAAACTTGTATCTATCTGTTTTTTTATTACCCATGTTTTATTTTACCCTTTATTTCTACTTTGGGGTTTCCGTGTAAGAGAAACCATGTGATATTTAAACTTGGGTGCTTTGGTTACTTCATGTAACATGGTCTCTTGGAGCTTCCATTTTTCTACAAATAACTCAAATTACCCTTCTCTGTGGCAGATTAGTATTCCATCATGTCTGTATACCACATTTTCTATAGCCCTCCATCTGCTGATTGACATATAGGCCCCTTTCAAAATTTAGCTGTTATGAATTGTGCTACTGTAAACATGGGTATGCATGGATCACTGTAATATGATGTTTAACTCTTTTAGGAAGATACCTAGAAAAGGAATAGCTTGGTCAAATGGAGTTTCTAGTTTTAGTTTCTTGAGGAACCACCATATTGATTTCCATAATGGTTATACATACCCACCAGCAATGCAGAAGGGTCCCCCACCACGGCCTTACCGGTATTTGCTATCACTTAATATCTTCATGATACCCATTCTTTCTGGAGGAAGGTGGAATCGCAGTGTTGTTTTAATTTGCATTTCTGTAATGCCAAGAGATGTTGAGCATTTCTTCACGTGTCTATTGGCCATTTCTACTTCTGAGAAATGTCTACTCATTTCAGTTGTCCATTTTTGGACTGGGTATTTTTAAAAATTTGTTTTAGTTCTTTATATATTCTCCACATTGGTCCTTTATCTGAGGAGCAGTTGGCAAGAAACTTTTCCCATTCTGTAGGTTTCCTCTTCACTGTTTGTTGTTTCCTTTGCTGTGCGGAAGCTTTTTAATCTGATGGAATCCCTATATCTGCAAGTTTTACCTATTTTGTCTTCCAGCGGGTTAAGTCTTTCTTTTTTAATAGGTAGATCTTTGGTCCATTTTGATTTTAATTTAATACTTGCCAAAAAATATGGGTCTAGATTCAATTTTCTACATGTGGGTAGTCCGCTTCTCCAGTACCATTTATTAAAGAGACTATATTTCCTCCAGCATAGGTTTTGGCCCTTTTGTCAAAAATCAAATGGCCTAATGTGCCTGGGGGTGTTCCTGTATCCTCTATTCTTTTCCATTCATCTCCGTGTCTGCTTTTGTGCCAGTTCTGTGCTGTTCACTTTAGCTTTTTTTTTTGTTTTTCTCTGGTACCGGGAACCGAACTCACGACCTTGCACTTGCCAGGCAGGCGCTTTGCCTTCTGAGCTAAATCCCCAGCCCCAGTTTAGCTTTGTAATATAACTTGAAATCTGGGATTGTGATGCCTCCTGCTTTTCTTTTGTTGCCCAGGATTGTTTTTGCTATTCTGGGTCCTTTTTAGTTCCATATGAATTTTAGGATTCTTTTCTCTATTTCTGAGAGGAATGCTATTGGTATTTTGATTGAGATTGTATAGATATAGATACAGATGCAGATGTACATATAGATGATTGTATAGATATAGATGATTATACAGATAGGGATAGATAGAGATAAAGATAGAGACAGAGATAGAGATAGAGATAGAGATAGAGATAGAGATAGAGACAGAGATAGAGATAGAGATAGAGATATGGTTTGGCCATTTTGAAAACATTGCTTCTGCCTATCTAGAAACAGGAGATATTCCATTTTCCGGTGTTCTCTTTGATCTTCTTTTCCAAAGCACTAAAATAGGTATTATAGAGCTCTTTCACTTCTTTTGTTAGGTTAATTCCTAGATATTTAATTTTTTCTTGAAACTATTATGAATGGTTTTCTTTCCTAATTTCTTTCTCCATGGGTTCACTATTGGTGTACAAAAATGCTATTTATCTTTGTGTGTTGATCTGATATCATGCTACCTTGCTAAATTTGTTTCTTAGTGCTAGGAGTCTTTATTAGCTCTATGGGTTGAATTCTATGGCTCTTCTATGTAAAGGATATCATCTGTGAATAAGGAGTTTTTTATTTCTTCCTTCCCTATTCATATTCCTTTTATTTCTTTCTCTTTCCTGATTGCTCTAGCTGCAGTTTTGAGTACTATATTGAACAGGAGTGGTAATGGTTGACATCATTTTCTTTCTCCTGATTTTAGAGGGAAAGCTTTCAGGTTTTCCCTCCATTTAATATGATGTTAGCAGTACGTTTGTCATAAATGAGTTTTATCAGATCAAAACAAAATCCTTCTATACCTCTTTTCTTCAGAGTTTTTTCTAATCATGAAAAGATGTTGGGTTTTGTCAAAGGCTCTCTCTGTATCTATTGAGATGACCATGTGTTTTTTGCCCTTGCTTCTATTTATGTGATGTATGACATCTATTGATTTGTGTGTGTTGAGCCATCTCTGCATCCCTGGGATGAAGCCTACTTGGTTGAGATTTGTTGTATCATGTTTGCCAGTACCTTGTTGAGGATCTTTGCATCTATGTTCACTAATGAGTCTGACCTGTAGGTTTTTTGTTTTTGTTTTTGTTTTTTTAGTTTAGCTCTTGTCTGCTTTGGCCATCAAGGTAAAGCTAGCTTATGCTAGCTTCCAGGAATGATTTTGATAGTATTCCTTTCT